TAGCTTAAACTTAAAATAATGTCGCGAGATACCTTTTTGGAGTAACTAATTATTTTAGGCAACGTCGTAAGGAAAATGTTAATTAGTATTCTGAGTTGTTTGTTTAAGATAACTCGGGTGAAAAGTTACAGTAGTATTTTGAGTTTTCGAACTTAAATTCTGGGAGAACTTTGATTTGCAGGATGTTTATTGTTATTTAAAAAGTAACCTTAAAATTTAATACTTAGTGGTTTTTACTTGTATTTTATAAGAAGCTGTTTTTTTTATTAATAAACAGTTGCAAGTTTTTTCAGAATTTTGGATTGGTTTCTATTCAACAGACAGTTGGGACTCAAAGCGCATTTGAAAAGTCAGTAACAACGATTTTAAAATTTGCTTTTAATATCGAAAATATATTTATCGATTGATTCGTAAACCGTAATAGATAATTGGGCACCAAACTGTAGTTGAATATTTAATTTTCATTCATTCAAATATATTGTTGAAGTCAAGAAATATATTTGATAACTGATTGTTTAACCACAAATTTTTAAATATTTTTTTTATGAAATCATTAAACTTAAAAAATATGTCTCACTTGCAAAAAAAAATTCTTTTTTGTACTTTCATTTGCATAAAATTATCAAAACAATTTAGTTCTAAAAGAGGGTAAAACGATTATTTTGAAGGGCTTAATAAATATTAATATTTAATTTAGTAGTGATTTGTTTGAGAAGATTTTTAAAATGTTGAGTAATTAAACGTAAAAATAAATCGAAATAGATGAATGAATAGATAAATATAAAATTATTTATTTAAAAGTGTATCCAAACTATAGAAAATGCTGAAGATATCTAAAAAATATGTTCCTAAACCTCTAATTATATTTTTCAGTCTTTCTGTATGAAATTCAGGTTGAACATCGAAGTCGGTAGATTCTTTTTTAATAAATCGGAACAGTTTGAGATTGAATGAAAACCTTGCATTTTGCAATACCACGTAAAAAAAATCGTATAATTTTTTATTCACTCCTTTTTTAAAACAAAATGATTTTTAAATAGAAAATAACATTTGCTTTAGTGATTTAATGAATAAATATGCAAAAAATAATTTGAACTTACAAATATGCAAATCAGGGTGTGGGGAGAGTAGTTGTAATTTTGTAGTGGTAGATACGCTACAGTACTCCCCCACCAGAATTATAGCTATGATAGAATTCGATGAATGGATGCCACTAGTTGATTCATTGCTGTTTTGTGCGAAGCCGGGAGAGCAGTATTAAGATCTCCGTATTTTTTGAGTGCTGAATGTGAGAGGTGTATTAACTTCACGGTCGTAGTCGCTCCTCTGTTGCCGTTAGCAGTCGAGTAATCACAAGTATGCAAGCCGACGTTTTGTGTGATCGAGATGAGACTGAGTAGCAACTGCGTGAGGAGGTGGATAATAATGCAGTCACAAGTAGCAAGTCAACTTTTCAATATGGATCATCCAACGAAGTAGGCGTTACTGCCGATGTAGGCGTATCCAGATCAAAGTGGGCGTTTTTTTGCCAAGGTAGGCGTGTTCACATCACGTCCGAAGGTCACCAATGTGGGGAGAGTAGTTACAGACCATGTCAACCGTCATCTATGAAAAGGTACCCCGACAGAGAGTCGAGTTAACATGTCTTATATACTAGTGAATTGTATTGTAATTTTGTAGTGGTAGATACGCTACAAGGGCTACAAAATATCTAAATAACTAAATTTCTTTTGGAAACGTTAAAGATTAGCGTTAAAGATTAGTGTAAAGATTTATAAACGTTAAAGAAAGTTAAAGTTATTAACAACTAAGACTACATTATCAAAGAAAAGTGGTAGAACATTTCAATCAACTTTTAAAGTATAATGTCAATACACTGTTGTAATTACGTCAATAACTAAAACCTCCTTTTGTAACGGACAAGAAACAAGAGCATAATATCATTGAGAAATTTTTAAAAAAATCATAATTGACTTTAAAACTCATTATACACTCAACTTATTCATTAATGTTCGCAATTTACCTGCCATATGTATAAAATTAAAAAAAAAAAAACAGCATGGTTTATAAAAATAAAATAGCTTCACAGTAATATACAAATTATTTTATTTCAACTGTTCTGTTTTATTTGTTTTATTTGTATTTGCTGGGGCAAAATATAATCAGGCGATAACTACTTTATTCTTATATAGCGTAAACGTCATATTTGTCTTATAAAATTTTTCAGAGTTTTAGAATAAGTTTAAGAAACTATTCACAAAATAGTTTAAAACTTTTTTTCGTTATAACTATAACGGTGGATGTATATTTTTTGTACAAATTTTATTTGCATAGTTTGTATTGAACATAACATGTGCATTCTTTTGCATACTTTTTTACACGGGCATTTCATTTTAAATGTTATTTGCATAATTTATGTTTCATAATAATATAAAATTTTCATTAATATGATCTTATTTTGACCGATATAAGTGTTTTTCTGTAATTTTTAAGTCTCTTCCCTTATATGCTTATTTTGTTTGAAAAGGAAAAATAATGTTTTGAAATTGGTGGAGGGAGAAAAAACAAAGATTTTAAGTAAGAAAAATGAAACGATGTTTAAATGTCATAAAAAAGAAAGCGAATATTTAATGAAACTATTTCATTCTTGACTGACTCCTTTTCAAAATCACTCTCCATTTTTTTAAATTCGAACGTTTAATTATTCTTTAAATTAGATATGCCTAAAATTAATGAACTTAATTTTAGTTGGAAGTTCTTTTTTCGGTAATAGTTTTTTATGATTTGCGAAATTTATAGACTAATTTTAAAATATTAGAGTGTTCAATATTTACAATATGGAAAAAGGCTTTCATTATAAGGAACAAAAACTTTTAAAATTTAATTATTATTGATAAGATGTTTATAGCAGATTCATCTGAACAAAACTTAGCACGACACAATGATGAGGCATATATTGACGAAGCTCATAGCTTCATATCGAATAAAATAAAAATATGTTCGTGAATTTTTAAAATCTTGTTACTCAATACAGTTCAAAATCAATGTTATGATTAATTTGGTCATTCTAATTTATTTATTTATTATTACTTTTTCATATAAATAACCTTTCATAGAACAAATGGATATTTTAATCACCCAGTCTGTAGCAAGTTGATGATTATAATATGAAATTTTATTTTCTAATCATTGTATTAGGTACCGAACCAAATACAAATAACACAATGGTGATCAATTATAAATTTGGTCTATTATCTCCTTGTGATTTTAAAATTGCCTAAGGCATTTGTAAATTTTCATTAATGGAATATTGTTAAGTAATACGATAGTTCTGATTAAATTAATTTAATATGTACCTTGATATGACTTATTGTATTAAAAAAAAAACAATGTTTAAAAGTCAGAAAAGAATACATATTTTTAAGAAAGCTAGTCTTACCCACAGTGAGAAAAGGAAGTATGATCTAACAGCCAAAATATGGTAAAACAGTATTTTTAAAGCTATGGTATAAATATTAGTGTTTGCTTTTTTTAACACCGAAAAGTAGGGTAATTTTTACCTAAACGACTTGGTAATATTTTTGGTAAAATTAACATTAAAATATGGTTTTTATAACATGATAAACTTGGAAATATTTGGTGATTTTTTTTGTAATACTTTAGGTCAGGGATGGCGAACCAATGGCACGCGTGCCATTTATGGCACGCGACACAATATTTTGGACACTCCACCGATCACAATTGTTGTTACACTATGAATTGTTATTACACAAATGTTATTACGCTATGAAGCATATGTAACAATTAAATTAAAATTCACAACAAACAAACAAAATATTAAACAATTATTAATAAAAAAAATTAAAATTAATGCTAAAAAACAATTAATAACCGTAAAAAACAAGCTAACAATGAATAACTAGCAAAAAAAATCAACTGTCCTGCTTAAACTAACATCTTAGAACCTAATATAAGTTATTGGTCATATAATCTGCAACAGCAGAAGTCACATTGATGTTACTTTAAGTTGAATTACTTGTATAACTGAGACATTACAAAATGCATTTTTTTCCAATGTAAATAAAGAGTTTTGAGTTGATAGTATTTAGTATTATTATTTTCCCAATAATCACGAAGTCAAAATTATTTGAAGGCACGTCTATAACCTCATTAAGCAATTTTTTAGAGAAAATGGCACTTTGGTGTATAAAGGTTCGCCACCCCTGCTTTAGGTAAATACTTTGGTGATTGTTTTGTAATACTTTTTTTTTGTAATACTTAAAAGTAGGGTAATTTTTACCTAAACGCCTTGGTAATATTTTTGGTAAAATTAACATTAAAATATGGTTTTTATAACATGTGATAAACTTGGAAATATTTGGTGATTTTTTTTTAATACTTCAGAGCAGGGCATAAAAATCATTTATTCGATTAATTTTTTTTCTTCAGTTTTGTGTATTTTTACAAAATGTATCAATAAGAACTATAAATTTTGAAAACAAAATTTTCAGTCAACAGTTATTATAAGAACAAACAATTATCAAATGAGTGGTTTAAATACCATAAATTTTACTTTATTAGCCAGAATTATTGTTTTTTTTTTTTCTTCTTTTTTTTTTTTACCAGAAATGGCATTATCATACATTACAATTAATTTACCAGAAAAGTTTTCTCTGTTCACAATTGATTCTTCTATGGAATTTTTCTCTATTTTTAAGTTTCAAACGTTCGTCTTTAAAAAAGGATTCGTAATAGCCGTGCCAATACTTTAATTAATCGCCATTTTCTTCGTATGCACCTATTCTACACTTGGTCATATTTGCAGATCAATGAAATCATTTGATTTAAAACACAAATTATCTAAGCAAAATAGGCGAGTGAACAAATCAAATATATTATGTAAAAAGACTTACATTTCATTGCACTCTTATCCGTGATTTTAAAAGATCAATAATTATTTAATTTATCTAGGTGTAGCATGGGTAAAAATTCGAACTCACCCTAACTCTTGCTTCGGTGAGATTGGTCCACATAGCTATTTCTTCTCTTGTAGACATGTCGGGATACCTATTTCTAGCAAATGTAGCCTCTAATTCTTGCAATTGCTGACTTGTGAAATGTGTGCGTTGTCGCCGTTGGCGCTTCTTTTTCTTCGGATCATCGTCCGCCGAATTGTCCGCCGGAGAATCGGCTGTTGCTCCGCTCTGACTTGGTTTTTCGTGGAGGGATCCGCCGTCTGCAAGAGATGACAAAAGTTCATTATTCAATGCAAAAGTAGTTTAAACTTGAAAGTAATCTCAATATCTTTAAAAATATTATCATACTGTAAAAAAAAATCCGAATCAAATTATGGTATAAATTACTGGCACTTTTGATGCATCATCCGTAAGATTTTATGGTGAAAAGTACCTGAGTATATTTTAACATATCATTTTATTTTATACAGTGTGCAAAATATGAAATCAGTTAAATATTTCTTCAATAATATGAACATTTGAACAATGAACATTTAAACTTAAAATTTTTTTGAAAGTTCATTACTTAAGCTAATCGGTTGATTTTGTTCAAATTGTGTATTTTTTTATGTAAGTGCATACCTCAAAATAAGGTAACATTTTTATGACTTACCATTTAAAGATGTTTTGACCCTCAGTAAAAGTAACTATGAAAAACAATAAATACCTTTTAAGAATAATATTTTGAAGGAAATTATTAATTATTTACATGCGCAATATATTTTTACAAGAAAATGTTTTAATTTCCTATTATGGCTCCATATTTTACAAAGAATTAAGCACGTTTTTGTGTTGGATTTCGTAGTTAATGCCTTCGACAGCTAATATAAATTGGCATATTTCAGTTAAGATCATCGAACCATAATGATTGTATGTTAGTATGTGAAAGACTAATAACTCATGTCAGAATATATTATGGTGTCATGTTTTAGACATTGCGCACTGCAAGCAAGATATTATTATACCCTCACATCAGAATAAAATTTTACATCCGTCAAAACGTCTGCACTAATCTAGCTCATGTTTCTTATCATTTTCATTCGTTTCATTCAGGTCGTCATTTAATAATTTATTTTTCTTCTTAATAAAATTTTGATTTATTTTCAATGACTGATCCGTTTGAAAATAAATCAGTAGTTAATATTTTTTTTTGCAATTATTATTTAACTAATTTTCTTTGTCTATGAACTAGTTAACATACCAATCAAAAGTATGTCAAATGTATTTTTATTCAAATTAAATACGTTTAAATGGATTTATTTCTTATCTACAATATCAGACAGTTTAACCTTTTCCCTACGGCGCATGATAGCAGCTGCCATTCTGATGTATATATATATATATATATATATATAAATAAACATT